ATTTTAAACTGATATCACATTCACATCATGACAATATGAGAAGAAGGAGCAACTATGACATTTCAGTTTATTAAATCGCACATTAAAAGGAGAACTATGGGGGTCAGGGCTTTTCCCCACAGTTCTCCTTAGGGTAACGGGAGGATACAAACTAGCGTCCTCCCGTCACCCTAGGCTCAGTATACCGCGAGCTGTAGCTCCCTATATACTGAGACGCCGCAGCCGGAGCGGATCCCGACAATTGTGCTGGGATCCACCCAGCTGCGTGAGTGACAGCTGGCTCTGCCTATCTAGAGGCAGAGCCGGCTGTACCCGCCCCCTCCCCCGTCCGTTCCGCCAGTCAGCGCTGGCGGATCGGGGAGGGGGGAATCCAGCCCCTCCCCTGTCACGGCAGAGAGCCGTGACAGGATCGAGAGGTGAGCGAACGCCGGTATGTGTTCGCTCACTTCCCGATCTACTGAGCCTACCTGTGACAGTCTCATTGTCACAGGTCGGCTAGAACTATGAGCATGAGTGAAAATCACTCCCCTCATAATTCTCCTTTCATCGCCTTACTTCCAACGAGAACATATTTAAATTTAGTAGCCTTGTCTCGTAGCTCTGGTCCTCCATACCCCTTAATGAGTTTGGTTGCCCTCCGCTGGACTCTTTCCAGCTCAAGGACATCCTTTCTGTGGACTGGTGAACAAAACTAGTCACCGGTTGGCTAGAACGCACTGAAAAAGCACTCACCTCATAGTTCTCCTTTAACGTTTCGAGGGCCACAGCCAATGATGAGGTCTGCCTCCCCTATGCAAGGTGTATTCTGGATCTGCCACAATGATTTGACTGCATTAGGTGATTACTATCTGGTTTAGGGATCCATTGTAGATTTGTAGTTAATTGCTACCCAATGCATAGCTACAAGTGCACGGCAAAGCACCCAGCTGTGCTCAACATTGTGCTGACCTGAGCTGGAAAAAAATAATAATCGCGCAGGATCTATTTTTTCCTCCCTTGAAGTGCGTCGATTACATTCTGATTTAGGGTTCCACTGTAAATGTGTATTGCAAAGCAAAGTTAATTGCACCCCCTTGCATAGCCACAGTGTATTACAACGCAGCTGCACTGCACTATATTGCATGATGATGCGCTGCGCTGGACAAATCGCGCAGGACATTGAGGTATGTTAACAGCCCATTCAAATGGAAAGCAGCTTGGGAATTTAAGTGAAGGGCCTCTGATCAGATCGGCAATAAGGAAGTAAAGGTTGCAATAAAAAACATTTTCCGTGAACGTGGTCAGGGATTACAACAGGTAATATTTTTAGACATCTCACTTACTACACAAAGATGAGCAAGCGATGGACACCGGACGGTTAAATCGCACCATGTGAAAAAGAAATATACTCTAAAAGGCGTCATTTAGAAGAATCGACCATCACCGATTCCAATACTGCAACCAGCGCTTTTTTTTTTTAAGCTGCTGCTCCGCCGGCCGGTCTAGAGCCAGAGCGGCACATAAAAGCTTAAGGTGGCCATACACTTTACAACCATCGCGAGACCTAGGTCTTACGATGGTTGTAAAATAATTAAAAAAACATAAGATCTGCCCATCTTGGACAGGCAGATCCTACTTGCAATCATCACAAGCCCGCCCCCTTTAGGGACGGGCTTGCGATGACCGCAATGCTGAACGGGCAGTGTGCGCACACCGGCCCGTTCGGCATTTGTCTCCCGAGCATGCTAAAAACCAGCCAAAGATCCTACGATTATCGGCGGGTTTTCTAGCGTGCTCCTTAGACAAAAGACGTGCGACCGTACAGTAGAAACGGTCGCACGTCTTCATTCACACTGTGCGATTCTCGTACGATCGCGGGATTTCCCACGATTCTCGTACGAGAGTCGTGCAGTGCATGGGCACCTTTACAGAAAAGCTAAACAAGCATGACTGGTTTGTTTATGTACCAATAGTAAATCTAAGTGATTGTTCCTGGCCAAGGAGCAGTGTTGTGATTGTAATTTCACGCACCTGTTCTCAGCAGCTCTTTCACATTCCTCTCTTGCCGTTGACATCTCTGACTCCAGACGCTGAATCACCAGTTCTATCTCCTTGTCTCTTCCCTTCCGTACCTCTGCTTTCAGCTCTCTTTCCCGGGTCAGAAGCCAGGCTTCCTGCAGGAACAG